ATATAATGTATGGGATACTTTATATAGATCCCCTACGACGGCCTTCACTTTATGACTGAGTGCAGCGGCGTTTTCGTAATCAATGCTAATACTGCGTGAAATAGCAGTAGAAATCAATGTGAAGCTTACGACGAACGTATCCGTCAGGTTAGAGCCGCCAAATTTGGTTTTAATCTGCTGTGGCAGCAGGAGACTGCAGCAGATTGATTGAACCCTAGACTTATGGAAAATCGTGGCTCGATCAGACGAGCCCCGACTTTAGTTGGTAAGATCTGATGGTAGAGTTCGAGTGTGGCGCAGACCCTACTAAACCATGGACCAAGCTTTCAACAAGGCACTGTGCAAGTTGGTGATGCCTTCATAATGGTGTAGGTTGTTTTTACATGGAAATGACTGGGTTCTCTGATTCAACTGAACCGATCATTAACTAGAAATGGTTACGTTCAGCTACTTGAGACCATTCATGAAATTCATGTTCTCAAATGATGGACTTTTATGGATGACAATTGGTCATGTCACCGGGCCACAATTGTTCGTGAATGGGCTGAAGAACATTTTGGACAATTCGAGCGAATGATTTGGACCTTCGATATGAATCTCACCGAACACTTATGGGACATAATCACAAGGTCAGCAGAATCAAAGGTTCGTGCACATAATCCTGCACCGGCGAACACTTTTACAATTAAGGACGACTATAGAGATACAATACAGATAAGCTGAGCAAAAAACAAAAATTAAAGCCTTACAAGATACAATTTACACACTCTTACATCAGATACTGAGCAACGTATTTTTGTGCAGCACAAAGAATTGCAATTCACTCTGCTGTACCAATCTATTTTGTTTTCAACAGCAATTTAAAATTCAACGTTTTATATCATTTACAAGGTGTAATGAGCAAGGCTAGGACTTTCATATAATTACATATTCATTTGTTCATTAGTTTCAATCAAACTTTATTCATTCGTTTATGAATTAGGCTCTTTGAAATAATTTGGGCCCTATTTGTTTATCCAGATTTCCTGGTGCATAGATTTGTTTCTAGATTTAGTACTTACTTTCCCATATTAAAGGAAAACTCAAATTTTTTGCATATTTCAACAATTTGCAATACATTCTGTATTATATTCTTTCAAAAATATTTCTGGAAGGTTATTAATTTTAGTGTAATTTTAAGTGATAAATGGGGTTTAGGAGTGGATCTGTATTTAACTCAATAATACATCACAATGTTAAAGATGGAGTTCATTATTAGAGCAGAATTTTAGCCAGTGTATTGCAATATTAAGAGATAAAAGGGTCAGTTTCACGTTTTGAACATTTAAAACTGTGCTTTGCAACTCACTGCTTTGTAAATGACCAATTATCAGAAAAGACTTAAGGAACATATCTTCAGCAACACTATGAGGTCTATTTTAATATATGAATAAATCTTGTCCTATACATAAAATATATATAAAATTAAAATCTTCGATTGTTATTTTTATGTATTCGAAACTTTTATTAATATATTAATTTCAATATTTAAATGTTTTATTCAATTTATTCATAACTAAATGTTCTCTTTTTTGTAAAAACTTAGCTTTTGTTTCCTTTTATGTAAAATGCAGTAATGAGATCAAAATCATCAATGTGACTAATACATACAAAAGCTAAACATTCTCAGTATTCATCCTTGGAAAACTATTTGATGGGTTGCCAGGCAGTGTGGTGGATAGCTTTTTGGTAAAACATTTCTGTTCCTGAAAATTTAAAATTGCATATTTAGTGCAATCTCCTCTAGCCCTCCCTCAAATTATGCCAAGCGCTCTGACAGAAATGAATGAAACTTACCGATAGGCGATTTTTATGGCGGTTTGACTGATTTTATAATCCAATGATAAGTCTTTACTAATACCTGAATTATACTCAACTTGCTCCCCGCAAACCATGGCCCCTTCCACACGGAACACTTACGCACATGAGTGGCCACACACACACACACACACACAAACACACCACACAACACACACACACACACACACACCACACACACACACACACAACACACCACACAACACACACACACACCACACACACACACCACACCACACACACACACACAACACACACACACACACCACACACACACACACACACACACACACACACACACACACACACCACACACAACAACACACACACACACACACACACACCACACACAACACCACACACGACACACAACACACACCACACACCACCACACACACACACACACACACACACACACCACCACACACAACAACACACACACACAACACACACACACACCACACCACACACACACAACACAACACACACACACACACACACACACACACACACACACACACACACACACACACAACACACACAACACACACACACACACACACACACACCACACACACACACACACCACACACACACCCACACACACACACACACACACAACACACACACACACACACACACACACCACAACACACACACACACACACACACACACACACACACACACACACACACACACACAACACACACACCACACACACACACGACACACACACACAACACACACACACACACGACATCACACCCACACCACATTAATCTC